CACCGCGCCCCTGTGCCCGCAGCTCGGGTCTCCTCGACGGTCATGGCCATCTCCGTGCTGCTGCTGCTGCTCCTGTCGCTGCTGCGTTTGCTGCGCCGACGGTGCGGGCGCCGGGGCAGGGCCTGAGGGCGGACCCCGCACCGGGTGCCTAACGCCTCGGTGTCCCGGGACACGGAGGGAGCCTAGTGGGGAGCCGGGGCCCTAGAAGGGAACGCGCCTAGGAAGGGACGCCTGGCTTCTCGAGGGGGCGGGCGTGGGATTGACGGCGGAGCAGGCAGGAGGCTGGAGACGGGGCTGGGCTGGGCCCAGCTGACGTGTGCTCCCTCTCTAGGAGCTGTCTGCTGGCTCCGGGAAAGGGGCCCCTGGCCCTGGGGCCCTCCCGGGGGCCCGGGAGAAGCTGGGCTGTGTGGTATCGCCGGCCCCGAGGGGTGGCCCTGCCCTGTCCCCCCGGGGACCCCCAGGCGGAGGGTCCCGCCGCGGGCTACCGGCCCCTGAGCGCCTCCAGCCAGAGCTCCTTGCGCTCGCTCATCTCCGCCCTCTGACCCGGGACCCCGGGGTCCGTCGGACCTTCCACCATCACCGAGATGGACATCTGAGACTTGATGCCACAGCCTACCTCGGCCTTCTCCTCTGAAGGCAGCGCGGCCTGTGGAGACCTCGGACGGGAAGCTTTCGGTGCCGTCGTGGGAACCTGGCCTAACCCTAGAGGTCCAAGGGGTTGGAGGCCAAAGGGCAGGAGGACCCTAAGCGCCTCCCCCAACAATGGACCTCGAAGTAGGGGTGGGCTTCTGGGTTCAGAGGTCACTGAGCCCCTCCCGAGTTGGTTCTGGACTACTGTCTCCAATTAGAGGTCATAGGTGAAGATCCACCATAGACTTTCAATAAAGGGCCTGGAGACCTGGTGCTGGCTTCAGTAAGTTCTTCCGTGGAGGGAGCTGAGCGAACGGGGGCGCCGGGCGGAGCGATGCGGGTGTCCGCGCCGTGGAAAGGCCGCTCCCCGCAGGAGTGCCGAGGACCCGGGCGCCGAGGGCGGGAGGAGAGAGGGAGGTGGAGGCCGATCGTGGACCGAGCGGTTCAGCCCCAATCTTTCTCCTCCGGCCCTGCCCTCCGTCTGCTGCGGGTCCTGGGCGGGCCGAGGGCGCGCCTAGTGTGGGCGGACGATAACCGGGAGTGAACTGGGCAGAGCCGGAGCTCGCCGAAACCTAGCTGGAAGAGCCGGGCCTAGCCCGACGCCTTCGGGGGGCTTGGGGTGTCAGGGGCCAGTCGAGGGTCCAGTGTGGGTCCGCACCCGAGCTGGGCGGGGCTGGCCGGCACGGGGCTGGGCCGGCAGCACCTTGGACAGAGCCCCGCTGGCTTGGGGCGGGGCGGGGGGGGAGGCTGGGTGGCGAGGGGCTGCGCCTCGGAGGGCGGGTGTACAAAGGGGGGGGACGACCTGGCCTTCACGCGGGAAGCCAGGATGCGCGACGTGGGGCGCGAGGTGCGGGGTCACTGCGGGCCCCGAGCCCCGAGCCGGAGCCACCCCCGTCCCACCCCCGCCCCGTTGCAAATGAGCCTGGAACCGCAAGTATTACGCTGAGGGGGCGGAGTCTGGGCGGCCCCGGGGCGGAGCCACCCCGCGCACGGCGCCCATTGGCCCTGGCAACGTTTACGTCAGGGATCCAGCGCGCGAAACGCGGGCTGGGCGGCGGGGGCGAGGAGCCGGGGTGGAGCCTGGCGTCCGCTCCCGCGTCCGGCCGCGCCCGT